TCTGGAAACTCGTGTCTGGTATTTTTACAACAATAAAATAAGAAATAGATCTAAAATGTTGGATACTATTGTTCACAACAGGTCCACGCTACTTTTAAAAGAAGAACCTAATGCTTTCTAACTCACCATAAGAAGCAACATGTTAGTCTTACGAAACAGAATTTACTACAGATTATAACAGAAGAGAGTCAGTCTTCACACCTCACAAACTCAGGTAGCAAATATGGACAGAAAGATCTGAATTCAATTAACAAAACTTTTCTTTTCAAATATTAATATAATAGTAATTGATGAAATAATGAAACAAACTGTATTGCGTCAGTACAGAAAATGCAAAACCACATTTCAGAGCTCACAGTTTTAACATGAGGAAAAGGCACTGCTTTATAGAACTTGGTCATCTGCTTCTACCCAGGCTTCTTTCTTCAATTACTGCCATTCTTTTGATTATCTTTTTCTTAAATTAATTTGCATCTTATTGATAATGGCTTATCTTGGTCATATCCTTAAGTATCCTTTGCAAATCACAGAGCATATAGTCTAGAAATCTGGATTAAAACAGCATCAATAATAACAAGCACTAGGAAATAGCCCTGATTGTTATACTCTTTAGTCTTGTAAAAATGTCTTAGAAATAACATTGACTACTTGAAACTGGAAAGCTTTTCAGTAGGCCACCACAAAGAATTAGAAGTAGTAAATATAAAATGGAATTTTGATAAAAGAACAATGAGGAAATCATACTCCGAAATTGTTGCTAAATTTCAGAATCACATAAGCAAAATCTTTTAATGAAACTTAAATGCAGTCTAGGATTACACATGAAGAGAAACTGATAAAAATACACCAAATATACTTCAATTAGTTTGACATTTCAATTAGTTCTTCCTAAAGTAATATCCTGGATACATATTCTTGGAAGGAATAGAACTGACATAAACTCCAAATCACCAGGCACAATATATCAACTACCTTTCCTGAAACCAACCATATATTGATTTCTTATTTCTTTTCACTTCCTTTGCAATAAATATACCTGCACTCTTTCACTGCTCATCTTACAAAATTTATTAATTTTTTAATCTAACTGTTTATCGAATATCTGCATAGCAAAACAATATACAAACAGTACCTCTATTTTATAGGCCACAGAGAACATGCACTCCATACAGTCAAGAAGCACACATTCAAAATAGATAAGCTGCATAACAGATTTCACTGGCAAATCCTGAGAGAAAAATCTGCTAACAAAGAGAATAGGCAGGAGCGGCAACAAAAACAGGTACAGTCAGAGCTCTGCTGTACATATCCAGACTCAGGGAACCTTACACCTCCCAGTAAAATCCTCCTCCACCTCGTGCCACCAGGCTCACCACAGAGAGCGCAGAGGTGAAAACCAAGACTTCCTCCAGGACAGACAGGATGCACAGGTGAGCAGCTGGCCTCTCTGAAAGATTCCCTAAATGGGCAGAGATGGGTGTGCCAATGTGTGCCAATGCCTGGTCTGGATATGAAGAGCACCTGGGAGAATACTACAGCTTGCAACACCAAAACTGTCAGCGATTTTGATAGGAAGTGAGAATTTATTGTGAAACCTTACTACTTTGTGTTGAAAAATGGTTTCAACTAGTATGTTACAGTTCTGATGCACTTGTGCACCAACTTAGTAGTCCTCAGTGGGGATTTTGCTGGTTATCTCTAAAACTGATGAAATGTGCAACTGTGCAACTTGGAGGGCATAAGAAAATATTCACAAGATTCTTTATAGAGTAATGGCCACTGTCCTCCACTTTTTTTTTTTTTTTTTTTTGTAGTAGTATTTACTTGAGAATAAATAATGGTTTCTGGTTTTACATAGTATTTTTCTCTAATACTTCTACTGCACTATGCGTGAACATACTGCAAGCCATTGGGATTTCTGAGAATTAAAAACATTACAGAGCAGTCATTAGTTTCAAAGATTATTCCAGTTTTTTGGAAACTGAGAACTTACGATTATAACTTTTCTAAATCTAAAATATATTTAAGCAAGGACAGCACACAGTAGATACTAACTGCTGTAACCACATTCAACAAATTCATTTATGCTTTGCTATTCTGCACTATTAGTTACCATTGGTTTTATGTAGTGGATAAACAGAATTGGTTTTCAGTCAAGAGAGAAGGTGGAAAGCTTGATTATTGCAGTCTCTTTCATTTAGACCTAACATCATTATCTTCTCACAATTATATTCATGCCCTTCCTACTTCGGAAACCTAGGAAGTGTTCTTCAGAAAGCAAAGGAGAAGAGGGTACTATGCATCAACCATATGAATGTTAGCAACTTGAAAGAATGCTGTAACAGCTGGACCTGTTTGCAAAAAGCATCTGCAGTGTCAGCACATCCATCAAGACTAAAGCAATCTTCAGCAGTAGAGCTAACGTTGGTCAAAGGTACTAAACTTTAAGACCTTAAGCCCTCAAAATAACATTCATCTGCAAAGCAAGCTCCACAGATCCATGCTATCTCAACTCAGCTTTAGTCTGAAAGCAGCAGATCTAAAGATAAGAGGAGAGGTCATGCTCTGTTTCCACAATTAAAAGCAGTTTAAAATATGTTAACGAGGAACAGGTTTTCAGAAGAATTTGTTACCAGGAAGAGCAGAATGATCTCTACTCAGAGGTCCTAAGATCTTAGTTGTCACTGAGGTACCTGATGTTCAGCACTTTTCTGTGATCCCACAAGGCACCATTTCAAGGTGCAAGTGCCAAATATCTCTAGCAATTTATCTCCATATTCTTCTTCCAATATTCTGACCCTTATGAATATATATTTAGGTGCAACAATAATTGATGCTGACCATTAATCAGACAGTGGTACATTTTAGTTTGAACTGCTGACCTTGAGAGAAAAGGTTTTATATATCATTCCCAATTCCTTAAGTCTTCCTGTCACTGCAAAGCAAATACTTGACTTTTATGGATGGATTCAGTTTCAAGTCAGTTGTTTTTCTGATGTCTTGTTAAAGTTACAAAAGTGGCTTTCAGGGAGCGTTTGTAAACATAGGCACATTTTTCATTACAGATCATTACCAGCACAGACAGGCCTTTTTGTAACATAACATATGATTAGCTATAAGTCATAAAATCCCACAAACAGGAACATAGTTTGTAGAAGTGTCCTGCAGACTTAGAGATAAATAACATCAGAAGCAACAGCATATCACAGCTTTCCTCTTTTTGGTAGAGTTCTTTAACCACAGTGTTACAAGACAGATCCTTAGATCTCTAGACTCTGTCCCCTTGACCATGAGTGCAGCTTTGCAGTTGCTGCAGCCATGCAACTCACATCCCTCCCCAAAGAAACAACTTATTTTGCTTCTTTCTATGGTTAATTTACTTTCTTAGCTATTCTCATTGGAACCTTTACATTCTATATAAATACTTAAAGGCACAAACACAAAGCACAAATATGTTCTCAATTTTAAGATACACAGTAACTACCATTTTCAAAGCTATTAAAAATACATTACAATGGAAGTTATTGTGGACAGAGTTGTGATGTATCTGTACATAATAATAGAAGTTAAACCCATATTTTTATATTTTCAGAGTTTGAAACTACACTATAAAAATGAAACCTGCTAACAGTAGGAAAAGTATGCCTGAATATGAACAAATACGCTTAGTAAAAAAGAAAAATAAATGCAGAAAGCACAGTTGAGAATATATTTATATAGTTATATAGTTATATAGTTATCAAATATGGTATAAATTGGAACTGTTATCTACCCATTAGTTAAGTTCAGCTTTTCTGGTCCTTCTACATGGTTCATCCTGTTTTATAATTGTAACAGTCATAGCTGCTGCGGTCAGTTGAAGAGCTACTGCATTAACAGATTGCATGAACTACTAAAGGAAAACTGGCATTCTGAGCTTCTGAAATCTTTTGCAACTGTTCAGCTTTCAATCATGTAACTTGAGTGTTAATTTTACCACAGGGGAGCAGTGGCCAGCAACTCAGGATACTATGTTGGAGTACAGTACTTTAGATATGTGAGTTTGTGCTCTGAGAGTTGCAGTTCTACTGAGATGCTATAGCTGATGGAAAAAAAACCACCAGAATTAATAGAAACCTGATTGACAAAAAACAAAAACAAAAAACAAAAAAACAGTCAAAAAAGGCTGAATGATATCAAATTTAAAAAAAAAGAGAGAGAGAGGAGGAAGGAGTAAACAATTAGACACTGGTTCTTAGCAAGAATTAGCAGCATAGCTGGGAAAGCCAGATTTCAGGATGAATCCTGTAGTGTCACAGCCAGCAAAACTCCTTCCACAAAAGCCAATGGAAGTTTTATTACTGGAGAATCTGTCCATTAAAAGCTTTAGAATTATGCTCCTTTTTACTTTGTGTGGAAAGGGAAACTCTCTGGCTACTTTAAAATTACAAAATATTGTTTCGAACTTCTTTTTGTAAGAACATTTTCTCACAGGGCTTAGCTGAAAACCAAAGAATTTCAATTTTTTTTTCCTTTTTCTTCCCCCTCCCCCCACCCATTTCTTTTCTTCCTTTTAAAGTTTAGTTCCACTTTTTCACTGTTCCTCCACCCTCTTTTAAAACAAGACTTCCATGCCACTGGACACACTTTCTTTTGTAAGTTAACTAATTACACCTGATAGCAGCAGAAAAAAAAACAACCAAAAAACAAATTCATTGAAGGTGCTTATTCATTTAGCTGTGAAGAACACATAAAAAACATATAAAACCACATATATATAAAAGAGTGGATACAAAGTGCTTTTCAAATTCACAGTTCAGCCATTTTTAAACCTTAAAAAGAGTTCTCAAAACTAAGTTGTTGTATAGTCACATTTTTTTTCACTATTTGAAGAAAAAGCTGAGAACATAATGAAAAAGGCTGGAAAAAAAATATCTCCAAACAATATGACACAGAATCACCTTTGTAAGAAATTGAGAGAAAACATTAGAAAGAATCTCTGTACTTTATGAGCATCCTACCTTTTTTTTGCGCAGTTTCACTTGACTGTCTGAATATTCTTGTGTGGTCAAATCAATCCTTAAATGTAAACACTGAGTGTCTTCTGCTGAACTGACATTTGAAAGGCATTTGTTTTCAGGGGCCACTTGAGGTTCAGTGAAACCACTTTCATCCAGACCATTTTCCACTGCCGGAACATGAGAGCAAGGAGAAGATTGCATAAGGCACTCACTGGGTTCCACCACTGAGCATGGCTGTCTATCACTGCTGGGGCATGAATCAGAAGAAATCCCACTCTGTACCACATTACATTCAGACTTTCCAAGGCTGTCTTTAAAAGCATCAGATTTCCTGCGCTGTTGTGCAATTACAGCAGTATGAAGCAGCTGTTTCCCAGGCATAATAATTTCTTTCACATTTGGAGAATTAAAAAGATTTTCTTTCTCTACTTGTACTACCTCATTTAAGGCTTCATAACTACAAAGCTCCAGGCTTTGGCCAATACTGCCACAAATATCTCCTTCCATCTTATCTTTAGGAACTGTGTCACCATCTCCAATTATACCAGCTGTCTCAGCTTCCTCATTACACTCTGTTTTTTGTACAACCTCTCTTAAGGAGCCTGCTCCATTTAAACTCTCTTCTTCGTCTTTTAGTTCCCTTCCAACAGCAGTGATGTGGTGATTAACACCGTTCAGGTTGAGTGCAGGATAGTCATCGTCATCATCATCATCATCATCATCATCATCAGACACATGGACTAGAGTTTCTGTGCTGGCCTCCAGAAAATGCTCTTCTTCATGGTTTTCATTTTCATCCAATTCCTTTGACACATTTCCAAGCTGCTTCGCAGGAAAGCCAGTTGGCTCTCCACCATGACAACACTCTGGAAATGAAGCACATTTTTCTTTCCGGTCCACACTCAAAATTTCATCTTTTTCCATACTTATCTGCAAGTTATCAGCTACGAGTCCATGACGACATGCTGTATTATACTCCACAGATTCCAAAGCCAATCCCATCCACTGGGTCACATGCTCTTCCCAGCTTTTCTTTCTGATTGCTAGAGACATGTCATAACAATTCAGCAGCGGGCTGCAGCATACCTTCCACAGTGGAGCAGAGGTGTCATGGCTGCTGTGCGCTGCTCCAGAGGGAGAGAGTGCTTCATCATTTTAACATCTGCAAAAATGAAAAAAACAAAAACAAACAAACAAACAAACAAACAAAAAAAAACACACAACAAGGTTATTGAGTCAACTCCAAACGTTAAAAAAAAAAAAAAAAGAGAAAAGAAGAAACAGTTTAAACAAAAGTGTAAAAGCAAGATAAGGACGTGGGACCAGAAGGACAGGATTTCAGAAGACTGTTTTGTTTAAAGTTTTAATAGTTTTCATACAAAACTTGACAGTTCTCATAATTCAGTAGAAGTTTTTTTCTAATTACTCTCCATTATCATGTAAACAAAAATGTTATAAACAAGCACATGGATAGACAAGTAGCTCAAGAGCCAAAAATTGACAATAAGTCTCTCTTCACTGTTTCTGTCATAAGATATTTATTTCAATGGATATAATTTCCATTATGTCTTATGACTTCTTTGCACACACAGTTATTTTGTATTTCTTCTTCATCCAGAGATACCCCTGTGCACAGCACTTTGGCAATTTCTCAATGAAGTAAAGCAGAACTTGAGGGTTATTCTGAATCTTGCCAAAGTTATAAACCATTTCTCTTACAAGTAGATTTGGTTTAGACTTTTTGCCATTCAGTGGCTCTTATTTCTCTGATTGCTTTCTTCTCATTAGGACTATTAGTTATAGTTATAAGCATCATATGAAAATGCAGGGAGAATCAGTTGTTGTGTGGTATAAAAAAATACAGTAGTACAAAAATTAATTTAAGTTTTTGGTATATTTCTTAAAAAAATGTCATAAAGCTTGAAACCCAAAAACAAAGCAAGCCAACAAGCAGGCAAACAAACAAAAAAAAATCACACCCGAGACTTTGGTGAATTTCCTCAAGATCTAGTAACATAAAGAAGGGACAAAGCCTTTGCTTAGGATTCTACAGAAGGTTAACTTGTCAGCAATAACTGCACGTGTCATCTGAATTTCCAGGATCTGCCCCATCCTACTGTCACCCCCTACCTATCCATACAGGTATCTTTCACTGGTGGTTGTTATTTGGCCTTCTGCATAACAGCATTTGAGATACATTAATCTCACTACGTTGCTTGTATGGAATCAGCATAAAGAAAATATCTCATAAAGATTTACTCATTATAAAACAAAATCAACAGGTTCTTCATCTAATACCAAAACAGAACTTCTGGCCCAAAAAACATCAGAGGTTGAAGGAGCAGGTGCTACAATTTACGCTCCATACATAAGAACTGTCAGTGCTTAGGATGTATCTACTTATAGATTTCAGCAATAATGAAGATTAAGCACTAAGTTTCTTCTGGGTCACTTCAGTCCAAAAAGACAAATTCACCAGGGCACAGAACTGCCTTGGCAAATCACATGCCCAACGGTAAAAAGGTAAAAAAAAAAAAAAAAAGTATTCATCTTAAAGGAAATACAGAACTATGCCATGCAACCAAACCTCAGTAAATTATGTCTTGACAAAGTGACTATTAGGATAGAGTTGTACATGCTCCTAGATCTTTAACTTTCTTAGTTGATGGCAAGCTTCATTTCATGTTCACATTTTCCACCTCCATGGAGACTGTGCTTCAAAAGAAAATATGTTCATAGGGTAAAAGAATTCCATGCACAAGTCATTAGCGTGTGGGAGGCAGAGGAAAATGGAAAATAAGACATGCAGCCAGGCCAAAAAAAATGATCTGCTTTCAGAGGCAAAATTTGGTAGTAAGAAGTTAATTCAGCTTTAAGTTTCTCTTTTCTTTCCTGGTTGAATATGAGAGCAAGCTTAATTGTTAAAGTGTAAAGTCAAATTACTGCATAAATTTCCAGTGTATTTGCACTATTTTGCTGGCTTCATTTCAGATCCATAGATTCCTACCATTTCTAAGTGTGCACACCTCAAAATTACAATGAGATGGAAATCAATAAAGACAATGCTATTACTGTCTCTTGCATCTTGTAGATCCTAAAGTACTTTGTAAAAAAATGAATTACATTATAACACCACAACATTTTGTTTTGACTTCTGAATAGGGGATGCTTTACTAAGAGGGGGTCTTTTATTTCCTGCTGTCCTGAATTACTGCTAGAAGTTGCAGCAATACATTACCCTCTGTCTTCTTTCTGTCCCCCTCTTAGAAAACTCTGTTTAAACTTTATCTCTTTTACAAAAAGTTAAAAATGGATGCTGCAGCCATACATGAGAATTCAAAAAAACAGAAGAAAAAAAAAGAAAAAAAAAAAGAAAAAAGATCCAAGTGAAGAGCTAAAAAAATGTAGCTTCTAAATGGAATTCATGCATCCCCCTATCTCAGCTTTAGGCAGCTGGTGGTGTGCAGCATGCAAGCATTCAAGGAGTTAATGGGTGCGTGTTAATCTTGCTGCTGTTAAATGGAGTTACACGTGTGCCGAAAGGGGAGAACAGACCCCTTACTGTTTTTCATTTTTTGGATGTGGAGAGTTATATTTCATGGGGGATGAAAAACAAATAAATTTTACTTGAGGAACCCTTCTGTTTTACTGGCACTATCACTAGTTTTGGCTGCTTAGTAGACTGCAGGGAAAAAAAAAAAAAAAGATTAAACAGGTGAATACCAAATATTTTGCTTGAAATACAAGACAAAAAAATACATGACAAGGGAGTTTTCATTGTTTTCTAAAATACAAGCTTGCATTAGCACTGTGTATAAAATATTTACCTTACAGATGCTTGCTATCTGGGCAGCCTCAGTTCCCTGAAGTCCCCTCTGGCATGTGATGTCTTCCATCAACCAGTCTGATGGAAGCTCACTTTCCTTCCTCTTCCTCTCCCCAAAGACTGCATTATCTGCTACAATTCAGCTCAGAAATTCTTTCTCTGCTATAACTATGTGATAGTCATAGGCCAACAAGCAGCTTTCCTCTCTTTTCCACCTCCACGTGCAGGGTGACCTCTTTACTTTGTACTCACATCTGCTGTGCTTGGGAAAAGCCCTTGCTCCAAACCTCTGACTAGGATCCATAACCATGTTACTTTCTCCTCCAGAGATAAAAGTGTGCTGCTATTTTTTTCTGCTATTGCTGCCTTCCTTTTTCTTGATGTACAGCATCTTCTGCCATCTGAGAAATACTGCTCTCAAGTCCATTTGTATTCCACCAAGGGAAGACACAACCCCTTTCTCCCGTTCATTACCATGCCACTAGATAACTTTAAATCTTTTTTTTTTTTTTTTTTTTTTTTTTAAAGTCAAGCTGAAGAAGATTAGCAGTCTAATTCACTTAATTTCTTTAAACAGGTTTAACTAATTTTCAGTCACTGACCAGCTCTACAGCCTTTCAGATCCAGAGAGTGATAAGTGGCAATGAATTTAGATTTTCTTTTGCTAGCAAGAGTCAGCGTTACTAAGTTTTCAAACAGACCAAAAGAATAAAAGAAACATCAGTAGGAAAACAATTCTGAAAAGACTGATTTTGTTCATTTTAATTTTATAGATTGTTAAGTATACACTCAATGCCTGTTTGTCATGAAGGATTTTGAAAAACCTGAAAATTTTCAATACAACTGTTGTTCTGACCGCTAAAAGATACCAGTTTTTCATTGTAATTCCAGTTTTCAAATTTTAATAAAAAGTACTCATTTTCTAATAAGTATTTATGTACACTTTTATAAATGTTTACTTGAGTATTTATAAAACTTAAAGTCTTTCTTGAAATGTTTTATTGAGTGAAAATACCTTTTCTTCTGGTCAAAGCATACCATTGGGATACAGCTGCTGCAATAATTCATGCTCATGTTTGGCTTTTATTTTTCTGTTCCACTAAGTTTTATACTACTTAGTAGTATTAATTTCCTGAAGAATAAAGTTTGAAATAAAATATAAAAGATAAAGATTTCTCCTGGAGAAAGTTTCTTGTTCTGTGGTATGATTTAAAGAAGATTCATAATATTGATGCAGTAGGCAATGCTTGACCAAAGAAAACGGCAGGGGGTGGTGACACTGAAGCAGAATCCCCTTTGAGCACCCTTTGAGATGGTTTGCAGTGCTTAGAAAACAAGATGCTAGTTTTGACAGATTTTCTAATAAATTACTGCTGATCTCTGTTCAATGTGAGCTACAATGGAAATGAAAAATAGGACGAGCCTTTATGCTTGTTTATGTTTGGAAGTTTTGCATAAACTCTCGTGGAATAAATAGTTACTTTGCAGCAGAAAACCTGTATGAGATGAACTGGCTGGCTATCCTATAATTAGATTGTCTAACACTTTCCTTGAAGGAGGATTCCTGTGATTTTTCCTCAGTAGCTCAAATTAAAGAGTTTCAGAGAGGCTTTCAAAATTCAGACAGAGAAGTATCCTCTCTTTATCCCATGAAATACCAATTACATTCAGGTGTGTTGATCATTTTTTAAAATGCCTTTTCCTTTCCCTTCTCAAGGAAGCCTAGAGAAGCATTTTTAAAGAAACGGACACAGAACCTAGACTTGATAGCCTGCTGCAGCAGCAAGACCTTGAAGTTGGAGCTGGAGTGAAAATGGGAAGGGAAGGAAGTAAACTTTCTCCAAAACTCTGTATCTCAGCGCACCAAGACCTGTCAGAGACCCAGCTCCCCTTCTTGGGACCACAACGGGAAACTGAAACTTCCTGGTTTCAAGAGTGGGGTGCAAAACAAGGGCTCTCTGGTCCACACAGGAGTGGAGCACACCTGTTTTTTCCATGGTGGATAAAGAGATGAGAGGAGAAGTGTAGAATCCAGCAGCTGCGGCCACCCCACAAGATGGGGCAGTGCAACCAACAGAGCCACAGGACATAGGGAGTGATACAGCGAGAGCAGGCACAGTGAGCATGGCCATGCACAGAGCACCCCAGCAGCATCCCCAGCAGTACAACCCTTACCATCCCAAGTGAAATTCAGTTTTTGCTAATACTTTGCATGGGATGCAAATCTTATTTGGAAAAGAATAAGGTGAAAGCATTCACTTATGAAGTTACACTGAGATGAAAGAATGTTTCATTACATTTTTTATGTAGTGGGCATACGTAAGCAACTGAGATCA